CAGATACAGCAGGCGGCGGTCGGTGGGGAAGCAGACAGGAGGACCAGCACTGAACCAGACTCCACTCTTACGCCGCCTCGATCTGCAGCAGCCAACAGTTCAGATCCACACCAACACGTTAAAAAAGTCACACAGCAACAGAACTGGACTGAAGAAAGGTCCCAGCTAATGAGAATGAGACTCAACTATCTCCAAAGAGTCTTTATATCTTTCTCGGCTCTGGTTGGTTGCTTTCGTTCGGGCCGGTGGATTCTTATAAAGGCCGTTAGAAAGTACCAGGAGGATCTGTCTGTCTGTTCTGTCCGGATAGAGAGAAAGTTCTTTTCATAAAAGTTACCTTCTGCAGCCTTAAAATCCAAATCAGATTATTTTTAGGCAATTAATTTACAGTGTTTATTGCATAATCGGGAACAACTTGGTGCACAAACACGGCTGGTCCTCAGTGTAACGGTGGGTAGCGGCTCATTTCAGACACAAACCAACACGTTCTCTGAGGTCTGGTGGCTTTAAAGGGAGCCCAGATCAATACAAACACTTCCTGTTAGTCTGACGGCGAGGTTACGGGTTTACTGTAGGTGGATCAGTACCTCGTATAACCACAGATATATCACATTACTGTTGTTGTCTCCCACTGATCTGAAATCAACAATCAATCACATCGTTGGATTCATTGTGGAGGAAACTAGTTTGGAAATACTCCATTACTTTAATTTTAACAAACTAAACTGGAGAAAGAAACACAGTTAGTAATTTAACTCATACAAACTCATTTATGTGTCAGTGTTCACACTTTACATCCCCTCTGACGCTCATCGTTGTTTACCTAGGATGGCGAAGGCACGATATAATAATTATCTGATGTTCCTGAGTGGATGGAATAGAATGAATACATTGTGTATAATTGTCTGTATGTCTCTCCTGGTAATGTTAACTTTATTATGATCCTGAACTCCAGCAGCGCAGGTTCAGTGACAATGGCCAATGTTATGGTGAGCTACATATAATTATATATTATATATTACATTACATATGACTCTTATTCTATTTCATTATATCTTGTTTTTGTTTTTTTATGAGCATTGTTCTGATCTGTTTGTGTCTGCTGGACGGTCCAATAATAATATATTTAATAAACAGGCACTGAATATAAACAGCAGTGTAACTATAAGTAATATATTACTGCAGCCTCTTAATGTTTGTACAGTGAAACAGAATCACAGGATGTGTCTGATACAATGACCTCAGAGTGTCATTTGCCCCATAAAGCAGCAGCCCGGTTCGGTTCGGCTCGGCTCGGTTCGGTTCGACTCGGCTATTGTCGGCGCCTGTTTGTTTGCCTCAAATCTGCTCCAAAATGTACAGAGGGCGAGCTGTGAGGGTCATAAAGTGAGAGGAGGATCAAACTGGATGTTTCTGTTGCCTGCTTTATTCTGCGCATGATGACGCGGCGGAGCGAACAGC